AAAAAATCTTCATAAAGAGAAACGGCTTTTCGTCATTAGAAAATTTATGCCGCAATCGAGCTCAATTAGAGATCGGATTTTTATTTTAGATCAAAAGATACAAGAAATCATTATCGTATAAGAGATCTTAAGGCAAAGTGGATATATAGACAAGAAGACCAGGATGCTATCGTTAATCGTTGACAAATTATAGCCAATTGCTTATTATCAAAAATTTAGTATAAGATAAAAAATCGAACAAGAAGTCGTGGAAACCATCCAGACAAATTATCATCAGTGGTTTACCGTCATTAGTTACTAGAAACCGTTAGAAACAAGCAAAGACTAGGATAATGTGGGAGTAAAACGAGATATAATTAAAGGAGCTAGAAGAATGTATCGGGAACCATGCCTTACTCGCAGAATGGTGGGACTAATCTAAGTGGAAGGGTGTTGTAATTGTTAAACCAAATTACAAAGCCGAAGGATATTCAAATCTAATCAAGAAAAAAGAATTAAATTTCGAATGCAAATGATTTAAAGAAAGAGGAATAAAAAAGAATGATTATTCAAATTAAAGAAAGTTCAAGATTTTTTTCAGTTTGTTTGTAAAACATTATGTAAATGAATTATAGAAAAGTATATATATATTCGAGGATATTTGTATAAGGAGAGATCATGATTTTACGAACTTAATTATAATTTTTAATTTTAATTTTTTATTATTTTAATTTTTTTTAATTAATTTTGTTTGATTATATTTTTAACTTATTATTTAATAAAGAGTTAGTATCATTTTAGTTCTAACTTTTCTGATTTGACGAATATTATAGAAAAATATATATAATCGAGGATATTAGTCTGATTTAGTATCATTTTAGTTCTAACGAGGATATTAGTCTGATTTAGTATCATTTTTTTATAACCTTTCTTATTTGACAACGATTATAATCATCCAATTCTTATTCTAATTTTTCAAAATGTTACAATTTTTTTTTTTTTTTTTTTTTTAGAACTAAAATGATACTAAATCTTTATTAAATAATAAGTTAAAAATATAATCAACTAAATTAAAAAAATTAAAATAATTAAAAATAAAAAAAATACAATGATGTTGGAGAGTGGAGGCGACAGGGCAATTTCAACAATTCAGTCTAATTAACTCTCCCACTAGCCTCAGCAATATAAATATCAATACCATATTGGTACAGAGGTGCCTTACAGCGATTGATCCAGGCTTTAGAAGATCAAAAGTCAGTCTAATTAACTCTGAAAAGAGATTCTAAATAAAGGGGGAAGGGGATGTATGAGATGACTATCGACACTAAGACAAAGAATGAGAGCAATAAAACAATGGTATCAATATTAATGGTCGTATTTCGGAGAATTAGTCGTTTAGCTAAAAAGAATGCGTCACAAGAGATCGTTATACGTACAAGTGATCGATGTAGCTAAAAGAAATTCGTTATAAATTTTTATTAAAGATATATGGTTGACTGTTATTTAAGTTGATAATATTTAGCAAAATATCAGGTTGTTGATTAACCAAAAAATCTTCATAAAGAGAAACGGCTTTTCGTCATTAGAAAATTTATGCCGCAATCGAACTCAATTAGAGATCGGATTTTTATTTTGGATCAAAAGATACAAGAAATCATTATCGTATAAGAGATCTTAAGGCAAAGTGGATATATTGACAAGAAGACCAGGATGCTATCGTTAATCGTTGACAAATTATAGCCAATTGCTTATCAAAAATTTAGTATAAGATAAAAAATCGAACAAGAAGTCGTGGAAACCATCGTTACTCGCAGACAAATAATCGTCAGTGGTTTACCGTCATTAGTTACTAGAAACCGTTAGAAACAAGCAAAGACTAGGATAATGTGGGAGTAAAACGAGATATAATTAAAGGAGCTAGAAGAATGTATCGGGAACCATGCCTTACTCGCAGAATGGTGGGACTAATCTAAGTGGAAGGGTGTTGTAATTGTTAAACCAAATTACAAAGCCGAAGGATATTCAAATCTACTCAAGAAAAAAGAATTAAATTTCGAATGCAAATGATTTAAAGAAAGAGGAATAAAAAAGAATGATTATTCAAATTAAAGAAAGTTCAAGATTTTTTTTCAGTTTGTTTGTAAAACATTATGTAAATGAATTATAGAAAAGTATATATATATTCGAGGATATTTGTATAGGAACAGATGATGATTTTACGAACTTAATTATAATTTTTAATTTTAATTTTTTATTATTTTAATTTTTTTAATTAATTTAGTTTGATTATATTTTTAACTTATTATTTAATAAAGAGTTAGTATCATTTTAGTTCTAACTTTTCTGATTTGACGAATATTATAGAAAAATATATATAATCGAGGATATTAGTCTGATTTAGTATCATTTTAGTTCTAACGAGGATATTAGTCTGATTTAGTATCATTTTATTCTAACCTTTCTTATTTAACAACGATTATAATCTTCCAATTCTTATTCTAATTTTCAAAATGTTACAGGATGTCTATGTTTTGTTTTCGCATTTGGTTTATCAGGCAACTTACTGAACGTTTTAGGATCAATTAAGTTCATAAAGAAAGAAGATATTTTAAAAGCTACCATAGAATATATCAAGAAACCTGGGAATGGTATAATTTAAAGCACCTTAACTAGATTTAAATAATTCCTTCAAATTTCCCAGTCAAATTATTTATATATTTTTTGGCTTGCCGAGATTTTATCTCTAAATTAAACCCGATATTTTGAAATTTTAATCAGGGCCTGGGCAGGATTTTTAAATTTTGGGTCAGTCTAATTATCATTTTGAAAATAATTTTAAATGGACATTGAAAATATGGGATGTGAATGAAATGATAGAATAGATGTTACATGACGCCATTTTTTTAAACTGAGCGATAGATATTTTATTTATATAATCGGTTTGACTCGGGTTATATCATATTATTTTTTTAATTCCGATTCAGTATGGTGTAATTTATATCCTGTCCCGATTTAAAAAATCGTAACATTTTAAGGCCCGGACCAGGTCTGAAGATCTCGGATATATAATGCTAAATTTTTATATAATCATATTCAATATTTTAAATGGAACATATGATTTATTTACAATCTAGGCCTAGATAAACGTAAAATTTTTAACAACAATAAATCCCCTTCCTCCATTTCGATTGCGTTTATAGAATAACTACGTCAAATCTTAAGAAAAAAAAAATTTAACCAAGATTATTTTTAACCCCTTTTTAAGGGTCTCATCTTACTCCAACTCATGACCCGGCTGGTAACTGCCATATTAATTTAACCTCGTAGTACAGAAATGGTCGCGAAAAAATTTGCTACGTTAGGAAATCGTACCACCAACCCCTCGTTTTACTTTATAGCTCTCAACTCACTAGCACCCCCCCCCTCCCCATTGCTATCATTATAATGAAAAAAAATTCCTTTTTATTTATTTATTAATAATTTAAATAACATTGTTTCAAATTTGACATCGTTATCGAATAAAACGCATTCCGGTTTCCCCTTCAGTTTCTTCAGTGAATTTTCTTAGGTACATTACTTTATTCAATATTTCTTCTTTTTTTAAAAATTAGCTCTCACGCTGAATTTATAGTAAGCGTGATTTGCGCTAGCCGTGTGAAATTAATCGCTAACCAAATCACAGCTAATTCATCATGACAATAATATTTTTTTGGTATATACGTTAACAACTGTCACGACGTCACCATTTCGCTGAGTATTTATAAAAAGCCTATCATTTATTGGCTTGGTTATGTAAGTTACGTAACTAAAAATTTTGCATCGATGATCCGCGTTTACTATAAACGAGATAAGTATTATCAACTAGGCCCTAGGCCGCATTTACAGTAAAAACGTTTTGTTCAAACGTTGCGTTATTACAGCTTATTCAGTTTTAAACACCTATTTAAGATAAAGCTATAACAGAGATAATTATTTTATATATCCTTTTTTTAATCGAATTCACTATTGTTTCTCACTTTTTATCAAGGCAATCGCAACATATGTTTTTTTTCCAAATTTTATCATAGCCTTATCATCACAAAGCTCCATATTTATGAATTAGTTCGTATTTATTGGCGTAATTTTGTATAAACGCAACGCTTAAAGATATCGCGTTTATTATAAATGAGACCTTGGTTATTACTCAACATATAAAATACAATTAACTTTTTTTTTGAAAAAAATTAAATTTATAGCACAATATTGTCACATTTAAATTTTACAATGTAAGTTATATGAATAAGGAAAACATTCGGCGAAATCACTTGTTTTTCAAAAAATAGATTTTAAAGAAAATAAAGAAAAAAGATGGAAAAAAACTGGCAATAAATTTATAACATAAAAATAAATTATAATATAAATAATATTCAAATTTAAATATTTACAAAGGAAAACAAATTCCGCATATTATTCGTTTATGTTAGGAATTTTTAATTAACATCTAAATTTTACCTCATCCATTTTAAGTGAATAAAGTGTTTTAATTTCAAAATATTTTTAAAATTGTTAACGGGTATTGTTTAATACGCGTCCGATTTTTTTTGGTGGGTGAGCTTTATTTTCCATTCTATTTTTTGAATAAAAAAAAATATATAAATACCGAGATGATATAATATAATATCTAAAATATTGTTATAAACTACCATAAACTAATGTTGTTAAAACGGCTCGATAGCCGATTTTTTAAAACGGCTTAACTCAATATTTTATCCAGATTTACGCAAGCCTGAAGATTTATCTCAATACATCAAACACAAAGGTTTGGACATCTATTAGCCAAATCTCGAGGTTCAGTATATTTTTTTTCTTTGGAAACGACTCCTACAAATTTCTGGGGCGGGTGTAGGACTCTTTACGTGCTTACATTCATTAATTCAACGAATCAAAATTTATGAAACAAATCAATCAGTTTTATTTTTAAATATGAAAAATGAAAGGGTGGGGGGGGGGGTAAGGAGGCAATTCTTTACTTAGATCCACCTTTACCTAACACATACCTTTATAAAAAAAATTTAAAAATTATAATTTAAAAGTTTATATTAGTAGAGTTAAGCAGATTCATAGTAGTAAAAAAATAAAATAATGACTGCAGTGTTCAATAGAAAAATATTCAATCAAGATTTCAAAAAATATTTCTTTAATCATTAACAATCAACCATCTTTTACTTTTTTTTATATTTTGATGTTATGTTAATTTTGCGAAGATCGGTGAAATCCAATCCTAAAATATTATATAATTTTACTTAATACGATTTTCTTAAGGGAAAGGAAGGAGATCTTTTGGCTGGTTTTTATTGGATATTTTTAGGTCGCCACTTTAAAGACTTTGGCCGGATCACATTTTTAAGAATATTATTTTCATTTTTTCTTTCTATTATAAATAAGTTCTTATTTAAAAAAAATTATTCATTGGTTTATAGTGACATATTGTTTTTTAAGAGAAACTAATAAAATTGTGGAGACGGGAGATTTCTCACCCTTTCTCCTCTCCTTGGTTGCTAATAAAAGACTATACCTATAAGCATAATAAATTGATTTAATTTCAATAAACCTAAACTTCTTGAAAAATAGGAATATAAATTTTATGTGTTTGTTATTAAATAATATTTATAGACACATATATATATATATATTTTTTTACCAAGTTGATAGTTGACGATTTAATAGATAATCCATCCTTTTCGCTATCGTTATTCGAAAAAGGCCATATATGCTTCGAATCAATTTTAAAAGGGGACCATCTTTCATATAAACTTTTACCATACCTTTAATTGACATGATAGATAATTAGATTGTATGTATTTAAAAAAAATTGAAACCTCCTTTTTGAAAATGCTATTAACGTTATGACACCAATGAACAATAATAATCCTATCACTCCGATCAATACCAATAAAATATTGATTCCATTGAACTGGCATTTGTGTCCCAGATACCATATATAACAATTGCATCTTTTTTCCCCATTTTGAATATCACAATATCCTCTATTTGAACATTCCGTAGGTTTGCATATCTCTTTATTTAAATAAATATTATATTAAAATATATTTATGATTCCTAACGGCAACTATTATCTGTTCGGTTAGTTTGAATTTATGAAAAAATATCAGTTTCGGGTTCAAATTCGATTTGCTAAAAACAATACGGTTTTCTTGTATCTTAAAAAAGAATTTTAGAATGCGCATAAAGAAGTCCATTTTTTTAAAGAAAAACTTCACTAATATCTGTTTATAAAACTGTGCAAACGCTTATTTTACTTATTACAGAAATTCTAACAAATAGACAGTATTTACTAATAACTACTTATATAAATATGAAATTTAAAAAGACGAGTAATCTGACTGAGATCAATCTAAATAGATTGACAATAAAATTTGAAATGGTTAAGAAATCAAAAGGCTCAAAACCGGTTTTTCGACTTTTTTAAAGATTAGGTTCAGGTTTGGATGATAATATTTTTAACGGTTAAGGTTTGGTTTAGGTTCGATAAATAATATTGGTTAATACCGGATAAACCATTCCAGGAACCCTGCTGATAATTATATTATGAATGCTTACCCTCACATTGAATCTCCTTGGTGAAAGGGTTATGTCTAGCTAGTACATTTTCATAACCCTTGTTACATTGGCATTCTATGAACTTTTTGCCTTGGGAAATGCAGTAAGCATTTTCTCCGCACATATTGTATGTGCTATCGCAAACATCGTCATCGCGCATATCATCCAGACGCGAATTCGTGAAATTCAAGGGAGCGTGAGTTGGAGGATTTCTTAAACCTTTTTCGATAATGTTTTTTAGGTAAGCTAACGTGACATTAGAATTTTCCTTCAATACTAACTCCGCTTCTACTATTACCGAGCCCGGCAAAAATCTCAGAATGTGAATATCGATGACTACCCCACTGGCAATCACGTCCGTCACCAAAATAAGGTATATGCTAGATATGAACGATGATTGGAGCGTTTGAAAGTCCGTAGAGGCTGAATTCGCCATTCCGGGTATGAAACGAATAGTTATGAAGTGAATTCGAATGAAGATCACGGCGTAGGGATCTAATTTATTTAAATAATATTTGCATATAGAACATATTTACAGAATATAGAGTATATATTTGCAATAGATAATATGGTATGGACGACATAAAAGGGGAAGTCACTCTCGCATTTGAGCGGATTAAAAAAAATGTTGGGCGTGGTTAACTATTTAAATTTCATAATACATAAATATATAACTTGTCGATTTGACTTATATAAATTTCATAGGAAAATGATTAACAAAAAAAAATACAATAATTTGTAAATAAACTTGCGCAAGTCATGGTGGTAGCGTCATAGACCTGCGGGGACGGACATATGCAGACATTGGTAGATACGCATATTCTGGGAGCCACACATGATGCGTCGCACATAGGTGCTGCCATCATCAAACTACGGCCTCTATACATTGGTGGTTGTATATCCATCACGACTTCGTTGGGGACGAAAGCCTTCCCTATTTGTCCTTTTTTTATTCGCAACAAAAAAAATAAATCGACTTATAAAGTTGGCCTTCTTTATAGTTCGAGATTGAGAAGGAAACATAAACTTAACGATTCCCAAAGATAAAATAGCTCCACAATATGGGGATTGGCAGAAGTCTCAACAATGGATATTATTGTGATAAATGCTAAAAATTTCCCAATTTGATAAAACATGTAGTAACAATTCAAATACCACCACCCCATCATACATAAAACTTATTTCTCATGTAGCGAGTAACTGTGAGCGGAGGTTTAGTTGAAATTTAAGATAATTGAAAATAGATTGCGCATTAGACAAGACACCTTAAAAGCTTTTCTACTTATGTCGGTGGATATGTAATTTAAATTATTTAACCAAATTCAATTTTAGAAATTTTCTTAACCGAACTTTTATACCACGTCGTTAAAAAGGAGCAAACTGAACCCCTGAGCCGGAAACCCGTTGTGTTATATTTAATCTTGTAATTTAAGACTGTTTTGATAAGTAATACTTTCCCGTTAAATTTATTAGTTATTTTTGTAAATAGCAATTTTTTAAATATTTTAGCTAGATTTTTTTTATATAATAAAATATTTTGATTTTTTATATCGCTTGATTATAATTTAAATCGATACAATAATTAAAAAGTATGCTATATTATATTTATAGTTGGTTGAGTTGATTTATCATTACAACTTACAAAAATAAAATAATTTTTAAATAGATGTTGTTATGAAAGTCTTAAAGGTTCCTGGGTTTGGATTGGACACTGAAATTATTTTTATCCTGAATCAGCTTTTGGAGGCCGAGGCTAGAGTTGGGTCCAAAATTTATTATAATTTCATAATTGTAATTATTGGTGGAATAGCCTTAATCTAAATTTACTCTAATTTAAATTTTTTAAAAATAAATAGTCTTAATTTTAAAAGGAATTTATAAGATAACTGACATCGACATTCAAATCCACTCCATTTATTTTTAAAAAAATTATCCAATTTAAAAATAAACATATTTATAATAAAAATAACAATTTTAAAATCTTTAGGAGTCTTTACACTAACCCTATTCTAACAACCAATCAGATTTTAATGGATGGAAACGGTTTTTGAATTTATTATGTTAATATTTACCCTTAGTAATAGGCCATATAATGAGCAAGATAATATTTAATATGTGCATAATGGAATTTAAAAAATACAGTCCGTTTTATTTTGAACATCGAATTTTAAAATTGCAAATAAATAAATTATTATTGTTATAGAAACTAATTAAATTATAAATTATTTAAAAATTTGTTTTTTAAAAAATATATGTTTATAAATTTATAAATCACTTTAAAATTTGATATTAATAATAATTATTTATAAAATATTAATATTTTAATAAAAAAAAGATGAGATATTCCTATTATTGAATCTTAGCTAACTTTTAAAGAATTGAAAAATTAGGTTGCTGTTTTTTCATTTAGCGTTATATAATTTTTTTTTAAAAAAAAAGAGTATAACTAAGGTGAAAGGTCGTCATATAATGCGACATTTTTTTTCAAAATTTAAAAAGAAAATATTTAATTCATTAATGAAAAATTAATTACAATAAAAATTCTGTATTTTTTTTAATAATTTGATAAATAAATATTATAACTGTTTTATATATTAATTATTTTTGATTAAAAACTATATATGTAACCTGGATTTGGATTTATATGTTAAACTCAAAATAATTAAAACTTTATATTATAAAAAATAATAATCGTTATAAAAGAAATAAAATAATAAATTAATAAAAAAGTATTAAAATAAGTAAATGAAAGGATATAATTGGAAAAAGGAATAACAAATTTTTATTTTCTTTCTCTTTAGAACCCCACCTATTATAAAATATATATAAAAATTTATTAACCTATTTAGTAGTTTTATGTCATCGGGTTATGAATTTAATTTTTTGTTTCTTTTTCATTTAATAATTTTATAAAAGAAGGCAAGTTAAACTCGTTAGCTGGATGCCAGGGTAATTCTTATTACCTTAGAATTATTTTAATTTGTTTATAAAATCGTATTTTATTGTAATTATAATTCCAGAATTACTTATTAATTTATTTTTTTTTAAATGACTTATGAAAAAATAATTATAAATATAATAATGATAGGTTTATTATTTATTCAATAATCCTATTTTTTATGAAGAGAATAATTGATAAGTACTAAGAATTCTTTTCGTGAGTTTTTTTTTGTTTAAAAATCCTCAAAAAAAAATTAAATTGTATTTTGAGTTTAAAATTTGATATTCAAAATAAAACAGACTGTATTTTTCAAATTCCACTATGCACATATTAAATTTTATCTTGCTCATTATATGGCCTATTACTAAGGGTAAATATTAACATAATAAATTCAAAAACCGTTTCCATCCATTAAAATCTGATTGGTTGTTAGAATAGGGTTAGTGTAAAGACTACCAAAGATTTTAAAATTGTTATTTTTATTATAAATATGTTTATTTTTAATGGATAATTTTTTTAAAAATAAATGGAGTGGATTTGAATGTCGATGTCAGTTATCTTAGTATAAATTCCTTTTCAAAATTAAATCTATTCATTTAAAAAAAATTTAAATTAGAGTAATAGATTAAGGCTTTTCCACCAATAATTACAATTGTGAAATGATAATAAATTTTGGACCCACTCTAGTCTCGACCTCCAAAAGCTAATTCAGGATAAAAATAATTTCAGTGTCCAATCCGAACCCAGGAACTTTAAGACTTTCATAACAACATCTAATTAAATATTATTTGATTTTTGTAAGTTGTAATGATAAATCAACTCAACCAACTATAAATATAATATGAATATAATTAAAATAGCATACTTTTTAATTATTGTATCGATTTAAATTATAATCAAGCGATAAAAAAAATCAAAATATTTTATTATATAAAAAAAATCTAGCTAAAATATTTAAAAAATTGCTATTTACAAAAATAACTAATAAATTTAACGGGAAAGTATTACTTATCAAAACAGTCTTAAATTACAAGATTAAATATAATATAACGGGTTTCCGGCTCAGAAAAATTTTAAGGATTCAGTTTGCTCCTTTTTAACGACGTGGTATAAAAGTTCGGTTAAGAAAATTTCTAAAATTGAATTTGGTTAAATAATTTAAATTACATATCCACCGACATAAGTAGAAAAGCTTTTAAGGTGTCTTGTCTAATGCGCAATCTATTTTCAATTATCTTAAATTTCAACTAAACCTCCGCTCACAGTTACTCGCTACATGAGAAATAAGTTTTATATATGATGGGGTGGTGGTATTTGAATTGTTACTACATGTTTTACCAAATTTGGAAATTTTTTGCATTTATCACAATGAGATCCATTGTTGAGACTTCTTCCAACCCCCATATTGTGGAGCTATTTTATCTTTGGGAATCGTTAAGTTTATTTATCCTTCTCAATCTCATATTATTCTATATTAAAGAAGGCCAACTTTATAAGTCGATTTATTTTTTTTGTTGCGAATAAAAAAGGACAAATAGGGAAGGCTTTCGTCCCCAACGAAGTCGTGATGGATATACAACCACCAATGTATAGAGGTCGTAGTTTGATGATGGCAACACCTATGTGTACATCATGTGTAGCTCCCAGAGTGTGCGTATCTAACGATGTCTGCATATGTCCGTCCCCGCAGGTCTATGACGCTACCACAATGACTTGCGCAAGTTTATTTACAAATTATTGTATTTTTTTTTGTTAATCATTTTCCTATGAAATTTATATAAGTCAAATCGACAAGTTATATATTTATGTATTATGAAATTTAAATAGTTAACCACGCCCAACATTTTTTTAATCCGCTCAAATGTGAGAGTGACTTCCCCTTTTATATCGTCCATACCATATTATCTATTGCAAATATATACTCTATATTCTGTAAATATGTTCTATATGCAAATATTATTTAAATAAATATAGATCCCTACGCCGTGATCTTCATTCGAATTCACTTCATAACTTCATTGACACTCATCAACTTAATAATTATAACCTTAAAACTATTGGCAGACTAACCATGCTTAAATTTTTTGATATAAATATGTCAACTAGAGAACTGTAAAGTTAGGCCCGGCCCGAACGGGCTCGGGCAATCACACTTATTTGAATTGCACATAAAAAAATATGCTTACTGCACATGTAAAATTATAGTCGTTGCAAGACGTATTAAATTTTTAAGGCAACCTATTTTCAATTAGCTTTATAGTGACATAGCTCCAAGGTTATTATAATTGACACCGTTAAAAATTCATAAGCAATAGATTGGATTATATAATACCGCATGAAAATTGTAACTAACACACAAATTAGGCAATTTTTGCATTATAACCCAAAAAATCTTAACTTTTGTCGTTTCAAGCCAGAGGACTGGCTAATATATTAAGTCTCTCCTTGATATCTTTGTTATTAATATGCCAATTGGGTATATATTTCATTCTATGATTCCTTTTTTATTAGGATATCTAATTAAAACTATTGATTATTTGTTGAATTATATGCCGAAATGCCTAATCTCTGTAAAGATCCATATGTAGGCGTAGACAGGTCAATTTCCTAAAACGACCAAATTTTATTAAGATGCAATAAATAAGGCCCATTATTTTTAATTTTAATATATATTAACGGATTCACAAGGTTGCTTCCAGTATTCTATATATCATACCCCGCAGCAATTTCATAGTGTTTTAAATACTATGATAGAAGTTTTTTAATAAATAAAAATATATAAAAATTTTAAATATAAAAAATGGTCATTTTGAAAATGTTTGCTAAAAAAAGGGTCATTTTAAAAATCTGAAGAAAAAAATGTAAATTAAAATTTAATGAGCCCCCTGATATTGTAGGTTAGTGAATGCAAGTCAAATTATTGCTAAACAACGACCAAATTTTGTCAAGATTTACGTATTTTCTAATATATATTAGCGGAATAATGTGGTCGAGTCTATATAACCCCCCTCCCTCCAAGTTGGTTTCAGAAAAAAATATGGCCTTTTGTTGGATTCGAAACCAGGTATATCGGATTCATGAACAACGCACTCTTCGATCAGGTGACAGACGATATATGAAAACATATTTTTTTATTATTTACATAAAAATAAATATATGACGTTTCTGGGTTTCTGATGCTTGGTAATTTATAAAAATTATGGAATAACAATGCAGACTTGGCGTGCATTATTATTAGCCGAGATTGTAAAAACTAGTGACGCCACTTGCTTAATTCTTTTAAATATGATTTTTGTTATCTTTAATAAGCCTGTGTAATCCTTTATTAAAACCTTCAAAAGACGCATTTTTATGCGTAAACTAATCATTATCTGTCTAATCCCATTAAAAACAATTAGCAATTTGTTTCATAAAAAATATCTTTTTTAACCGTCCTCCAAAAACCGGGTGGAGACCCATGAGAACTTTTTTGCATACTTGCCCTAATAGCTAGTCCGCCTCTATTAGAAACATTCTATAATTTGAATCTAATTACTTTATGTGTCACGTGTTTCACGATGGGGAACATGTTGATAATATCGTCCTCGTGAAAGGTCATACGAATGGGGCTGTCCAACGCGTATTCCCTCAAAACGATTTGAACGCCGCACTTAAGGCAAAATTGTCGTAAGAACACCAATTTTTTAAGTTGCTTGAGTTTCGAGAATTGGTCGAAGTTTTCGCCCCTTAAAAATAAATGGTGGTCATTTTTGGTATCGTTGTAATTAATGTTTTTATATATATTGGAAAACGTCAATTACGACAGCTAAATGAATGTTTTATGATATTTTTTATAGCAAATTCAACATGACCATGAGCCTGTACAAAAAGTCAAAAAGTTGCAATAACTATCTCTTAATAAATAATGTTATTTTAAAAATATTTTTTTTAGTAAAACTTACTCTTTAATGCTATATATATAGGACAACTCGACATCTTTACAAATACTTTTCCATAAATATCCGGGAGTCAAATTGATCCAATCCGTGTTACCTTTGATCACGTGTTATTAAAGCCATTTTTTAATTTATTAAAATTGAATAAATTACCATTATTCGTAATAGAGTTAAACGTTTTCTTCTTTTTATACTTCTTTTTCCCATTTTTATGAGGCTTAATTTGGGATATGCAAATAAAATATATATGATTTTTTAAAGATTTTCAATTTTTTTTTTCTAAAATAGTTTTACCTCAATAATAGATGCCAAATTGGTAATTGGATCAGCGTAAGAACCTAAATAGCAATTCAGGAAATGTGCAATCATGATTGAAAGGTAAGAGGGTTCGACGTTTTGAATTAAATTTTTAAAAACATGTTTAGCGCTCCTGGATATCATTTCATGGAGAGCTATATTCTTCGTTGTATGGAAAAAAAAGGAAGAAAGAAGTCATATTTATAATTTTCGATAAAAAGAAATTATAGTTGCCCCCCTGAATAATGGGAAAAATCTATATCCACAATTTATAATTGATGACTAGTGATGAAAAATCGCTTCGTTTGAGCCGATTTTTAAAACGGCTAGCTCGGTATTCCCCCCCCCCAAAGTATTAAGCAAGTCAGAAAATTTTGCTGATAGATGGCACAAAGGTTAGAACAAGCGAAATCTCGAGGCTCAGGAAATATTTTTCTGGCTAAAATATTGAGCCAGCCGTTTTTTTAAAAAATATGCTCAAATGGTAGCGATTACTGATGATAACCGCATTAGTTCCAAGCAATAATATTTTTTCAGCGACATGAGAAATATCGTCCGACTGATGACCGAGTCAAAAAAAGTAGAACGATAATAGTTCGCAAAAATGTCTACAACTTTCAACAATACATATGCATGCGTTTCACAAATTTAATTGAAAAGATTGTAAAAGAAAAAAAAATGTAAAATTTATCGCGTTCATTTATTTACACTTGTTATTTTTTATTTTATATCAATTTTTTTTCCAATATTCAAGGAATAGGTCAGGTATATTATTGATATTTGTACTTTTAAATACGTGAGATTGGAATGGCACTCCAATTTTTTAGCGATAATTCCTAGATATCGGACATTTATACCCTTCAAGTGCAACATTTCAACAAGGGAAAAGCCGTCAATCGGAACCGCGGTATGCTCTTTAAAATCATTCAACTTATAAAATATATAAATATAATATAAAATATGTTTGATTTACCATATCCGGTATTTGATAACATATCACAAAATCCGCAATATCTAATAGAAGCTTTCTTTCTGCTTTCAATTTTTCGGCCTGGAAAATGGGGAAAAAAACATTTTAAAAAAATTAAAATTAGTGATGTACATTCTATGGATGTGGTGCCTATAAAAATCTTTAAAATATGGCCTCATTTTCACTATCTAATCGAATCTAATCAATTGGTTATTTATATATATCTATGTTTTTAAAGGAAGGATTGATAATTAATTTTTATTGAATTTAATCACTTTTATTCCATTAATATCATTCCATTTCTCATAGATCAAGTTTAAAATCAGATCTGTTAAACAACTAATATATTTTTCAAAATTAACTCATTTTTTTTTAAAAACATGTTGAATATTTATATATCTTATTCGTTATCTTTATTTGACAATTTTTATATTAAATATAGCCCAGAAACCTAACAAGATTTTGAATTTAAATCATGGTTTGATTGTAAAATATTTTATAATTTTTTTTAATTTTAGGTTACTTCTTATAACAACTAAAAATAATTATAAATTCTAGGGTAAAAAAATTTTGACTGTCGAGTTGTGTCGAGAATATAGAATTATTTTCGGGTCGAATAGAGTTCGGTATAAAAAAACGCCTCGTTTTGAGCCGATTTTTAAAAACGGCTAACTCAACATTAGAGCCAGGAAAATATTGCCTAAGCGTCAAGATTTCGAAAATAGATGTTCAATCCTATGTGCCATCTATGAGTAAAATCTTTAGGCTTGCATAATATTTTTATGGATAAAATATTGAGTTGGCCGTTTTTAAAAATCGGCTCAATGTTGAACACTAGTCTCTAACAGGTTTCTAGGGCTTATATTAAAACTTCCTGCAGGACGTTTGTTTAGTCTAGAAGTTTATTAGTGGAGAAAAACTAGCAAGACTTATACACCTGTTACAAATGAAATATAACTGTAACTTGTTACTTTACAAAAGTAATCGTAAACAACACTATTTAAAATGTTACTAATACTTTTAAGCATGAAATGGTTTTACTAAGCGAAAGTCTATATAATAATGTACATATTAGAACCTTGCATCGTAACTTTTTTTGCAGCCCTTTTCGGAAATATTTTTGACAACTGACAATCGTTCTATTTTTTTTAATTAAAAGGACTTAAACTCTTCGGTTTTTAGTGAGGGGGGGGTTTAATTATTACATCGTCAGGTACGTGACGTACGCTCTTTAAGAATGCGTCAGGATTGAATTTAAGGTCCTCGAGGGATAAGGAAAATTTAGTACGTAATTTTAATTTAATTTCGGAAGAGGAATCTTGAGTCTTTACTTTTATCTACGCCGTTATAAAATAATTTTTCTGAATTGATATCTAAAAATGTGAAAAAATATAGTAATACATAAAGTTAGAGCTGAAATGGAAATGTTTATATACCATTGATATGATTCATTAATATTTCGGGCTTTAATATGTTTGTGGGTGAAATATCCTCATCGCTATCTTCTCTATCTTCTAAACCATTAATATCCTTAAACAATATATAATATATATTTCAGTGGCGTCACAGAAGGGCAAAAGCCTAAATTTATTAGGCCTCGCATAAAGAAAAATTAGGCGCTAGAAAATCACATCACATGTTATATCATTCATTATTTCTAAGTGCATAGCGGTTAAGGTTGCATTATAAATTGCTAAGGTTTTATTTTAGAAAATAAAAAATATATACCCATAATAAAAAAATATTTAATGGTTATATATATTTATTAAAAGTTTTTAAGTTAAAAAATTACTCAAAAAAAATCAAACTGACCACTTTTTTAAATATATTAAGATAATTGGAAAATAATTATGCTATATATACACAACTCTAGTATGAACAGTTCTTGAGTGGTCAGCTTGTGGATATAGCTTAAAACATACCATAGAATCGATTGCAGAGTCCTTGTCTTCCGAATGAGATGCCGGAATTACTGGAGCCATCGCAATCATTTAAATTTGAAAAATTTTTGTAGGCGACTTTCTTGGGAACCGTTAGTGATACCATTCTCATCGGTCAACATAAGACTACTCATACTCATCATATCTTCCGTGATTATATGATCCGAGTCTAGCTCATTTTTTTCTCCTTGTTCGTGTATTTCTCCTGTTTTGTCATTATTTGGTATATTGTGTTTATCCTGTTTCTCTGAGAGTTGGGGAGGCAAGGCTAAATTTATTACATATTCAACAAAGGCTTCAACCAGTTCGGGCCTTAAGACGCATAATTGATGTTTGTACTTCTGCGGTAGTCCCAATTTTCTCGATTCGGCGCTTAATTTGAATCCGTCAACTAAAGAGAAAAATATAAACAAAGGGTATGTAAAAATTGTTTAGAGTTAAAATTGGAGAGGGGAGGTGATATAGTATATATAAATACCTGGTAAGAAATTGAGATCGGAAGGAAGAGTGCGGAATAAATCTAATATATAACGCCTAAGATCATTGCCTATGATCCCCTTGCATTCGTAAGACGTATGCAATTCAATTATTTCGCAGTCAACTTTATCAATATGATCGATGGTAGATAATTCTCCATTAATCTCGGTCTTTGGAATAACGGCCATTTTGGATGGGCTATCACTATACACTCTATGAGTGCTAACCCTAAGTTTGGAGGCTATTTCTTTGAGTATTTTATCGTATTCAACGTTGGTTCTAATAATAACTTTATCAACGCTTTTCTGATGGGACACGGTTTCATCCTCATTTTTACCATTAGGTAAATTAGAATTGTTGGTGACGGGCGAAGGGCTAGAATCGATGCTCCCGTAAACAACTAATTCCTCCTGCTCTCGTTCCAATATTCCTGGAAGAAGGTATAAAATATTTATAACTTTCTTTCCGCTCGGATATTTTATGAATTCCACCCTCCCATTCATTATCAATCTTTCACATTATTATGCGAAAAGAAATCGGAAATTATTTTTTCGTTTAAAAACCTGGTATTATAGTTTGCCCTGTTATTCGATATCCTTTATAATCTACAATCACCGTTCCTAATGTATGAAATTTTTCTATATCCAAATCAGAGTATATTTCGACACCTCTCAGATCGTTGGCCTAAATATTTGAAACATTTTATAACCTATCATAGAAAAACTTATATATAGCAAATAAACAATTTTTCAGTTTAATTCCATAAATTTGCAGTCCATTATATATTTTATTACATTAGATTGTATTAACTATTAAACATTATTTGCATATACGCATTTAATAATAATTTAAACTTACGGGTGCCACGTAGGCTGCAAAATCGCCTCCCAATTCTTTGTAATGATCTCTTATGTCGAACCCCAGACTGAAGAATATGTTATTCCATATGTACATATGCATCCTATAACAAATTGGCAAAGAATTTTTATTTTTAAAATATTTAATGTAGAATTAGAATCCCCTGGGAATTTAACCAAGTGTCATTCATTTATTTTCCAACAAACTCTAAACATAAGATTAAACAAATGCACAACTTTAGATGAGCAAAAAAATTCGTATATAACTTGGTGTAATATATAGCTCATCTTTATTTATCAATATATTATTTTAACAAAGTACTTCGAACTCTCGCCGGGATTGATGGGCAGCGGATATCCGCGTGAGATAGACAGAGCTCCTTTAGCAGCGGCTGTAGCCAAATCGGCCCCGACTTTAAATACTGCTCGGTCTCTGGCAACACGTTCTGCAAGGTCTTTGCGCGGCAACTCACGCGTTCCTTGAAGTTCTTCGTTCCAATCCCGGGTCTGGCCTGGTACGTGATCTTCGAAACCAAATCTAGATTGGAATACTGGATAGAAGAATTAAATTTATTTTATCGATTAAAATCTGTTAGGAATAACTATAATAATTGGCGTATTAAAGCACCTGATTAGTTGTTCCCTTTATATTGAATTTAAAAAAAAATATTCCTTTATGGTTTGTATTCTAATTAATCGAACAAGTATTCAAAATTAACAACCAATCAAAAAGTTTGCCTATATCCCAAACTGCTTAGTATTAGAGAATAAATATTTTTTAATTCGTGTCATATGAATTAAAGTGGAAAGATGAGAAATTATACGGCAAAGATATCAATTTATATATAAACCCAACCTAAGAGGAATATTTTTGCTTACTTTAAAAATAAAAACCATAAATTTTAATATGCAGACCTGAATGATGAGAGTAGTAAAATTGAGATTTAATTTTTCTCGGGAGATATGCTTAATTTTTTTTAATGTATTAATGCCTTTATGCTGAAAACAGTCTAGGTAATGGCGGAACTAACCTTTACAATCTCAGTGGGCTCAATTTAAAAACAGGGAGTTTTTTTAGAAATTATCTTTTAGGAAATATTTTTGAAATTATCATTTTTTGGAAATATTTTTAAAATGACCTTTTTTATAAATAAAATTAAAAATTTCAGGGGCCTAAAATTTTAGGAGGGTCGAACCCCTTTCCCCCATAGTGACATTACCGAAATTAAATAGATTATTTGCTATAATTTTTTGAATAGTGTGGGTTGGCAAAGTTGAAAAGGAAAGATTTAAAAACTAACAAGTCAATAAAGATATTAAGTCATATATTTTTTGGGAGGGGGGGGGGGTATTAAGGTAGTTTTTATTTTTAAAAAATCTCTTACTACTGTGCAGGCAGATGATGATAAAAAATAGGATTTCATGTTAGATGATATTTGTTTAATTAAAGCTAGCGTTTTAGCCAATATAGGGTTTTCGAGATGAGGACAGTACAGGTCCTCTTTATTGAAATTTGAAAGGTAAAGTTGAATGGAATGGTAGGATCCAAGAAACATATTTAGCATTTAAGATGATTAGACGTGAAAGCTTATCAATTATAGGAGGAATGGGCTTGTCCATAAGCGAACCAAAGGACGATAAATTTTCCAGCTTATCGGAAATTTGTTTATTCTCGTAAATATCAGCTTTAGCTATTAAAAATTTTATCCTTACCCCCTCCCCCTCCAGTGCATACAATATATCACTATATGAAGGAAAAATAATAAAAAAATTTTTATAAAAATTTAACAGAGCCAAAAGTCTATAACAAGTGGAACATGGCGAAAGAACCCAGCTAATAGTGCTTCCTCTCTAGAGGAAAGGCATGGCTATCTTGCACGGCAATGGCAACAATAAAATTTAAAATATATACATATATATATAGCATTTTGCATGTAATCAAAAAATATATAACTATCTTCGGCTCTAATGGCGTCTTCCCTGTGCTCTAGAAACGGCAAGATCCAGGAATATTTTTGAAATGGAACCGGAACTTTTTCTAACGAATTTTGAGCGTTGCGTTTTTTGATTAAAACGGATAAATTTCGCTTAAAAAGGGGACTAATCTAAAGCGGTATTTAAAATCGATATTAAAATATTTTGAATATGGGATATCCAAATATAGGTAAGCAAGGCTTTGTCAGAACCAGCCCGTGATCAATTTAAAAAAAGTATTCAGGCTGGCCAGTGATATTTTTGCCGGATCCGATAAATATTTTATTTAAAAAGAAACGCCTAAATCGTTACCTTGCGAAAAAAAGGATTGCGTTCGCTATTCAAAAAAGTGACGCGTTACTTAAGAAATACTAATATTATTTTATTTCTTCTCCATAGATAATTAACGACAATTGAGTTTCATAACTGATCAGATAAACAAGATCGAGCTTTCGATATGCTAAACACACGTTATATCGGCGCAGATGATGGAAAAATTGTTTAATTAATAAATAAAAAAATTCCCCGTAAAAATAAATTTGAAATATTCTAGATTTTTTTAAAAAAAATTTAAATTCCGAGTCGACAAAGATATTTTGCATAGATTGCCCAACTTGGCCCGAAAAAAATATTCTTTCGAGCTGCCAGGCCCACTGTAATAAACAAAAACGACAAAATATTGATTATTTATTTTGAGGATACTTTTTAAAATTATAAATAAGAATGCATACTGACTAATATTACATACAATATAATAATTTCGAGTCATTTTATAGAAAGGCGATTTCTGTTCAAATTATAATTATGGCAATAATCTGATAGAAAAACATAACCGCGATCACGATTTCGCATAAAAACGAGTATATAATTACCGGTTTTTCTTTAAATTTTATTTTTTAAACCAAATTAAAATGATTATTCTTTTCGATCATTAAACTCCTAAACTTATCACTCTTTTTATCGTATTTTGTAATGCTTTCATTTACAAAGTAAACTTTAAAAGCACTAGGAAAAATTAAAATGAATCTTGATATTTGGCGTCACATTTCTCTTTAAAAAATATTTTTTTAAAAAGTTCAGTTTTAATTTTTTAAAGCGATGTATGATATATTAATAGTTTTTTTAAAAAAAAACACCTTGTTCTTTCTCACCAAAAAAATAAAATATAATATGCATGCTCTAGATGTAAAGTGGGATAAAGATCAATCGTTTAAACTTAATATTTATTTTATAGAATACTCTTTATTATACACGGTAATATTTGTTTAATTTAATAATTTAATGTGATTATGTAATGTAATGTATATTATATTTTAATTACATTTTCATTTTCATGAGAGAAATCAAACATTTTTCTATAAACGTTGTGAACCTTATTAAATAAATCAAAAAGAGAATGGAAATTTTGAGAATCTGAATGAGGCGATGGATTGAACGTTCCATTTACCGATCTATTTTTGTTTAAATAAATGAATTAAAATTATAAATGTTTTAAAAGAAAAAAATAAGGTTAAATATATTTTATAAAAATATATACTGATTAACGTAAAATCCTCTAACGCAAGCCGTTATGTGAAATTCTTTATCCTCTAACGTGATCACTGTTATGTAGGCTAAGTCTCCTTTTGTTATAATTTGAAAGATAGAAAATATTTATGTATAAAATGATAATTTTTAAAAAGAGGTATATATATTTACCCTTCATTTTGCGAGGGCCAGGCGGAGGGTTCCAGTGGTTGAAGGCTAAAGACTTCAAGCAAAGTATAGCCTTTTAAAAAAAACATTGTATTATTTACATATATAAAGAAAGATTTCCACGGATATTTGGGAAACAAGATCCTTATAAATTAATCGATAAGATGTTTTATAAATCGTAAAAACGATTTTAAGAGAGCACCAAGAAATGAAATTTTAATAAACACCAAAAAATTGATTTATTTGACTAAATCAGGATAATTTTTGATTTAAATCTAATGTTATATAAAATAAATATAATTATTATGCCTGGAAAAAAAACTACCCCTGAGGCAAAGTAATTCGTGGAATATACACTAATTTTAATATGGTATTTAAGCATAAACCATTCATGGCTAAATTAGCAAGATTGAATTGACTAAAAAAAATATATTATCAAAATTTTATATATCTAATATTTTCCCATTCACAAGAATTTAATATATTCTAAGTTTAAAAAAATAATTAAATTATAACATTATTATCAAAATATCGATCCAATATTTCTCAAACAGCGCATACTTATAAGCAGAGGTAAACTTTTGTTCAAAAATAAAAAATTCCAAGTTTTGAAATTTTCTTTTGAGAATGTTGAGAGAATTATCGTTCAAATTTTACCTAAAATTCAAAATCTATTATAAAAAGAGCTTTCTTTCCATCGTAGATAAATATTGATCTACTTTAAAAAAAAATCTTTAATTTTATTGGTCTTCGAAGATTTTTGTTAAACCCTGCTTATAAGTAGTCTTATTAAACGGCTCGATTTGTTTTATAATTCCTGGCTTTTGAATGTTGGAGAATCTTTATCAAATGTTTCCAATCCTTTACTCCCTCCAGATTCGATTGAAATCCCAAATTCATTATTAGAAAATTCATTAATCAATTCAATAAATGAAGACATACAAATATCTGATATTAACCTATTTTCAAAAAAAATTATATTAACCACTAAAAATAACATAGCCCTAAATTTAAATAACGAAATTATTCAAAAACTACCAGGAAATTCTAAGATATATTTTAGCGCTGATTCTATACAAACAGATAATCCTGAGGATTTACTTAATTTCCCCATTGAATTTCTTCATTCTCAAACCCCATCAGGAATGCCTCCTCATATTTTAAATCTTAAAGTTGGGACAATAATAATGCTTCTTCGTAACATGAATCCCAGCAGAGGCTTATGCAATGGGACACGACTTCTTATCAAAAATTTACATGATAATTTCATAGATTCTAAAATATTATCAGGGACGCATAATGGCCATCGCGTTATATTATATTTTTTTATATGGTTACAAATGTATATGTGTTGGAACCCCATAATCGTTAAGTCTTAAGGTATACACAATTATTATATTTTCTTATAATTCATATCTTTGTCTCTTTTTTTCTATTTCTTCCTTCTTTTATTCATTCTTTTTTTCATTTCTTTGCTCCCCTAAAATCCATCTCCTACCTTCACGCGGTGGGGAGTGAACAGAAATGCTGACTAACAGGAGCTCTGGTGGATAATGTAGTATTTGGGGTTCCAATAAGAGACATTGTTTCCATGTAATAAATCTTAATTATTGGGTAAAATTTTCTTTTATCTTTCAAATGTGAGCAAGGTGCATATTTGTGTCCTTTATTGACAATAAAGAAAATGTCTCAAGCACCGGGATGCCTCGACTATATTTAAGAACCTGGGAGCCCTAATATCTATCATCCTTTCATAGATTGAGTTTTTAAAGATATAAAAATAGTTATAAAGGAGAAAATTCTAATTCCCCGTCATTCTTGACGGGTTATTAGCTAGTGTACAAATAAAATATTTATTTTAAAAAATCGTTATTTCAAACCTTCGACGATTTTAAGCAAAGAATTGTCTATTAGGTTTTGAAAGGTTTTCAGCTCCGAAAACTGGTCTAGAGTAGTTCCTTGGAATTGCAATGAGAAACATGTGCGATGAAAGGTCTCCTCTCTATCCATCAAAACTTGATGAATTTCTTGAACCATCTCATTAGGCGTTACCTTATTCGAACAAAAATTTTTTTTTTATTTAATATAAAGGTTTTTAATTTATCACATATCTAATAAAATAGAATAAGTGTGGTCAATGACGTATCCAGAGCGGTTTTCAAATAGGGAGTGGTTTGTAGGGAAGGCCATTATGTAGGAATAAGCTCCAATATTTAAAAAATGGGTTCTGTTGGTTGCATTTTTCCAAATATTTTTTAAAAAAATATTTAACCTGCAGCTCAATGTACTCCGAATTAGTGTATTGAATATTTATACTGAACACGTGATCTTGCACCATAATAACCTCCTATGTATCCTTTTTAGAAATTGGGATACTGTCTATCGTTGATAATATATTCGAATTTCGTTTGCTTGTAGCGATAGATTTTAAGGCGCCATCTCTGGGGGGTGGTGACGATGTCAGCATTGAAAGGTCGTTGAGAAGCGTTTTACAGATGTCCATCATGGTTTGGATGGCGAGTCATATTATTCAAAAGATTATGGTGATTATTCAAAATGATTGATAGCTTTTGTTGACCAACAAAATTTATATAATGAATGATGAGGGAAATAAATTTTTAAAAAAATCATGAAAGAATAAAATTAGTATTTTTTTTTCCTTTCATTCTATTCGGCATCATCAAACTGTTCCATTCTTTTTTAAAAAAGAGAGAAATATCATAAACGAAATTTTGCAAATGGATTAGGTTATAGTAGTATTTTTTTTATTAAAATATTAAAATTCAACAATTTGAAAAAACTTTTAAAAATACTTATTTTGTAAATAATTATATTATTATTATTTTAAATAAAATAGTTTGAAATAATTCATTTTTTTTCATAAATATTTAAAATATTATCGATTTTGAATAAGATTAGAAAAGCGAAATACCAATACCGCCATAAAATTCGCGGCATATTGTAAATATTTCATTTTAGTTATACCATTCAGCCTTTATAACACATTTCGTTTTTTCTCATTTTAGTTATACCATCCAGCCTTTATAATACATTTCGTTTTTTTCTATAGGAAATAAGTTCATATCTAGTAAAAATGTAATATCATAACCTATTATATATTAATTAATGAGAGCTGATAAGATATCCAAAATGTTTAAATTTTGCGTTTCAATTTAATAACTATCTTTATAATTGTAACTAGCAATTAACTTCCATTTTATTATCCTCGAATTTAAGATGAAAGAAAGAAAGAGAGCACATACATGCTCTGGAGGAGAATGAAAATCATGTTTCTAATTTCATCGCTTAAATTCAATTATAAGCTTTATTCAATAAATATGGTAAAAATTTAAGGAAAAAAACGAAAGGAAGAGAAGCTATTTAGTTAAGAATTTTTTTTTACAAAACAAAAAAACCAACAAAAGACTTTCAACCTAGTGGATCTAAGATCTTGATTCGTGAGGGCGGGGGTAGGCAGGGAGGTTAAAAAGCATAAATATTTTAAATAAAACTTAAAAAATCCCATTTATTATGTTTTAAAATCTTTAAAAAAAATTGAAATGTTGCGATTAAATATGCCACTGTTTTTAACCAGAGTTGTTAAAGTAGCGCGCTATCTTTTTTGGTAGCTATAGCTAATAGCCGCTACTTTTTTTAAATTATTTAATTTTTTAGCGCGCTACTTTTAAAAAATATAATGAATGTAAGTATAAACTTAAAAATTTAAATATAATATCATAATTAATTATTTTTTATAATTTATTATTTAATTTTGAAATTTAAATATATTTTCAATTTTTAATTTATATTTTCAATCTGTGTTAATAATCTAAAATGGCATCGTCCATGGATATCCAAATCCTTGAAAGTGATTCAGATATGGAAGATTCAATGGAAGAAAATGTATTTAATAGCTCTAATAACGTTTTTCCATTCCCTAAATTTGAAAAATTTTTTAAAATAAATATTAAAACAAAATTTGGATTCAAATTCATGTGCTTAAAATGTAAAAAAAATATATCATCAAATCAATCGAGTAGCTATAACCTGAAGAAACACCTAAAGGTAAATTGTTATTTTTACATTATAATATTATTTATTTTATTAGACTGTTCACGCCAATTGCTATAAGGAAATAGAGAAACATATAAAAAATTTTGGTATAGGAGAATCTTCATTCAAAAAGACAAATACTATCCAAACCAAATTAACTGGTAATAAACATGCCAATATTTCACAAAAATTGGCTGATAAAGTTATTGTTGATTTTATTATTGACACAGTTCAGCCAGTGTCTTTGGTTGATAATCCATCATTTACTCTGATGATTAAAACTTTATCCCCTGGCACAACAGTTTTATGTCGCCAGACACTTATGAATAAAATAGCCGACAACTTCAAATTGATGAAAGATGCTCTAATAGTAGAGTTATCAGATATATCTTATGTATGTACCACGGCAGATAGTTGGACACATAACAGAAGGTAAAAACTTATTTATATTTATAAATTGATCTGATTAAATATTTTTAGAGCTTATTTGGGAATCACAGGCCATTGGTTAGACCCTAGGACTTTTTAAAAAGAAGATCTGTAGCCTTATCCCTTAAAAGGATTATAGGATGCCAGACATATGACGTACTTGCAAATAAAATTATTGACATCCACAAGTCTTTTAGGATTCATAATAAAGTTTGCAAGATGGTTACTGATAATGGGTCTAACTACCTGAAGGCATTTAGGTTATATCACAAATTTATTTATAATATTTATTTTAAGTTATGATTTTTATCAGAATGGAATGGTTATTATTTAATCTATAAAATATTTAGTATTTTAATATTTCACATTATTTATAGAATTTTTATTAACTAAATACACACATATTTTAGTAATATTATGATTATCATAATTTATATCAAATTATAAATAAGATAGGCTAATGGCGAAGCTGAATAATCTTACTCCAACAAACATAGATTGCCGAGTATCTACCACGAAGACATCCTCAAATAATTTTTTTGAAATTAAAGATGATTTAATAGAAAATCCAATTGATCTTTTTGTTTTTTTTCAATCAAAAAATATTGAAATGAATATTTTTGATAATATTTCATATATTAAAAATTTATATATAAAATTTAATACCCCCTTGCCCTCAAGTGCTAGTGTCGAGAGATTATTTAGTAAAGCAAAGCTTATACTTTCTGATCGTCGCTCTAGACTTGGGGATGATAATATTGAAATGATATTATTATTAAAATGCAACAAATTAAAATAAATATTTATTTATATTGCTTATTTTTTTATAATTTAAACTAACTATATTTTTATATTTATAAATGTTGATTTTTATATATTATTTATTATACATTTACATTATAAGCAAATAAATTTTTTTTTATAAAAAAAGTAGCTAATAGCGCGCTACTTTTTTTGACAAATAGCTATTACGGTAGCGCGCTACTTTTAAAAATAGCGTTTAACAACTCTGTTTTTAAACAGTATATTATCAACTCAACAAATGCACATTAATTGAATCATAGTTAATAAATCTTCAGCAAAAAACTAAGCCTTTTCGAGAAGCATTAACCCTATATATCTTTTGACAAATAATTTGATACATAAAATTCTAAAACTCGGAATTTATATATTATGTCGCGTAAAAAAGTAAGGTAGTTTAAAACTATTTTTTTAAATTATATAAAAATAATAAAAAGGAAGTATTAACGTAAACTATTTTTATTTTTTAAAGCATGATGAAATTGGGAAAATAATTTCTCTCAAAAAAAATAAATAATATGATATAAAAATAATGATAATAAAAAAAACATTGTATATTTGCAAAATTTTATTTATCAAATAAACACATTTCCTGCCCTTCCCTTAATAATTAATTTGCTTTGTTTACATTTATCATATATGAAGTGACTTTAATTTTAAATTGCCAAAAATAGTATTATTAAAAAATAAAATATGAGATGATTGGTGGAATGGAGTGCTCAAGGGGGGCTTGGCATTTTTATTGTCATAATCAAAATCAAAAAATGCTTTTATATTATTTATTTTATTATTCTATTATTTAAACAAAAATATATATTTTTAGAATCTTATCACAAGGCTATAAAAATAAAAATGAACTTTACTCTTTTTTAGAGATATTATTATTATACCCAATTCGGCCCAGTCTAAAATTATTTTCAACCGAGCCTGCCTGGCTCATAAAATATATTTGGTACAACCGGCCCCTTATGTTCTTTTATGAAGGAAAACGTAAAACATTTTCGGGCTGGACCGATTTTTAACCCAAACTTTCCTCATGTCTAGTGTGCCTTTATTAATGTGTCCTTAAGAACAATATTGGTAGTCTAAGCTGGGGCGTTTAAAGAAAACCGTCGCTGACACTTGATAAATTATTGGTAAGTCACTGAAACTCGGGGAAATTTTTAATATAATTTATTTTTTTTTATTAAAAAATATTAAATATGCGGTCGACTGGATAGTGGAAACTTTTTGATGTAATAATAATTCATCATTGCTCAAAAAAAAGTAATTGCATATTTTTTCAATAATTTTAATTTAACGTATAATATTTTTTTAAATTTAACAAATATTTTTCCCTTTTTTATGGATTACATAAATTTTACCGAGTTCATAATTTCATATACAAAAATCTCTATTAAATCACATGTAACATCACGAAAATAGAGAAAAATGCAGCATCTTATAGAGTAAGATGCTCAACATGTTACATGTTCAAGCAGCTATTCTATATAGAAGGGTTAATATTATATTAATTTTTAAATTTTATTATATTAATTACGCAGTACGCACTATATTTGAAAATATTAATCTTCATGTGAAAAAATTTATTCATCTATTATATCATTTTGTGTCCAGGACTTCTCTAAGTGACAGTCTTCGTTTAATAGACTAGGCACAAAGTACTATTGGAAAATGGTAAAATATATCTAAAATTTTTCAATAGTTTTTTTAGGTATGCAATATTTAGAAAAATACATACACAAGCCATTTCTTAAAAAAATAGGAGGCCCTGGGCATATGATCGAAATAGATGAACGCCATATTTTTAAAAAGAAAAATAACATAGGGAAGATTTTAAAATCAAATGCCATTTGAGTTGTAGATGGGATATCAAGAAATGATAAGAAATTTTTTATTGCTGAAACTGGAAAAATAGATAAAGGGACCCTTCTGGGTATAATCAGTAAGAACGACCATACTGATTCAACAATAATGACGGACAAATGAAAGGGGTAAATTAAATATTCATATATCTTAAAATTTAATATTTTTCCAAGTTATAACAATCTTAATGAACATGGATATATGCTCATTACTCGGTCAAATCTAAAATAGCAGTCCTAGCGCGAAGATTGTGTTGCCTCTTTACACAATGATTTAAGTTATCAATGGGTTACTTGACTTTTTAATCTGTGAAAAAGTTCAGAGATAGGGTTTTTTATACTCCTTCCCAAAAGTAAAAAAAATAAACCATATATTTTAAGTCAGAAAAAATTAATTCGATTTATATTAAAGAATTTATGTGGA